GTTACCAACATCTGGTGAAAATTTCATGTCATTAGCACCTCTAGTAATATATTTACTGAGAAAAATGGTGACGTGTTCAATACTTATATGCACTTTTTTAATTAAACTTAAATTTAGGAGAGGACAAATTAATTAGGGACAGCACTTTTCTCAATAAGTAATATAAAATGTTTGGAAACAAGAACTAAAATAAACCTATATTAGGAGGTGATTCCCTAACTTCTGCAATCAATGCTGTATTTGTCAAACAATAACCTATGCATGACAACATATCACATCTCCTAAATTTCTGTTTTGGCTTTTGGTTTTTATTGTTCCACCCCACATGACCACCCCATTAAAACATTTCTGGGGCTGCCTCTGGTAATCACCGAAAAAGGTGTAATTTTTGACCACTTCGACTTTTCTAAGAATAATGTTAGAAGTCTTTTRTTTATTTATTTATTTTACAAAAAGGATACTCAAATAACTTGTCATACTACAGCTGTTTTCAGAAGTTTACTCATGAGCATGAATGTCAATGCAAACTATCAAATCAGACATGAAAGAAAGTTATCCTGAACTATGGCAGATGGTGCAGTTTGATTTGCTCCAGTAGTTTTCCAGATACATTAAAATGCAGTTCTGAAATGTGGGTACACACTCCATGTAAACAAAGCCCATAAAACAACGTGGAAGCTTGAGTCACATGACTGACCTGCGTTACATTGGTTGTAGTTTGTGTGAGTAAACACACATTTGGCCAAATCAAACAAGTGGAGGATCTAACCACTGATCAAAGCTGCTCCTATACTTCACAGTTCTGTGCACTGTTAGTGAAACTGGTTTATATTTCTGTCAATTGGACCACAGCCAGATTTTTGTAATTGTATTTTTCAAACTCTATAAATGGCATTATTACAGTTTACTCAGCTGGACCACACACATAAAAGAAAATTAAGACTCAAGATCAACAATACAACCAAATTATTGCTTATTATTTGACAATGAGACTGGTGTAAAAGACTTAGCAGCACAGTGGGCAACATTTAATCCACCATTCTAATTATAGTCCTACCACAGAAAAGTGTTGGAGGAAATTTAAATTTAACAAATGCTTTACTTTTCAATCAATCAGTCAGGCTGCGTTGGCACCGTTAAGTGGGTTACTCTTTGTTTTATATTCAGTAATGAACAATTTATTAAATAATTGCAAGACTTCAGGGTTTATTGTATACAGGTAAAATAATAGGGTGTAATATACTGAATTTGTTTGAAACAAAATAATCTGTGCTGTTAGATTAGCTTTTGAGGACAGAACCTTTAACCTGCTACCTATTTTGGATTTTAAGAATAAAATTTATAAATAATTTAGACCTTTCCAGTGTAGTTTCACTTGTATCCAACAGAGGTCCCTATTGTATTAAACAATCAGTTAACTGCACTGCTTTGAGACTGTGTTAATAATAAAAGCTTGTTRAGCTGCTCTGCTCAAATACTTCCCTTGTAAGAGGAAAAACCTTTTTTAAGTCTGTTTATATTGTGAAACAGAATTGCAGAACAGCTGGAAGGCGTTGTTTGGTTTCTCAATGTTTTTGAATAAATCTAAAGGATTTTCTGCCAAAATCAAAATCAGATTTGTTGTTGACGGATGTCAGTAATAGTTTAAGGTTTAGCGAAACCCTTCTTTTTCTTTTAGGATGCCGAGATGTAAAATATCATTGCGGAGTGTTTCATTTGCAATTCATATTTCTTAAAATTATTAAAAAGTGATCCAACTTCTTGGTCTGGTGTCAAACTGTACCTGTAGGTGTACAGAACGTGACACATCCAGCTTTAAGTGCGCAGGCTCTGCATCATCTCACTGAACCGTGGCATTCAGAATCACATTTGGCATCCAGTCGAAGAGAAAATCCATTATCCCCTCCGCTCCGCCTGCCGAGGAGAAATGTAGTAATGTGTGAGGAAAAATAATAACATAAAAC